TTTGTAAGTAATCTCTACACCCAACGTGGGGCTCAACCACATGACCCTGAGGTGAAGATTCACATGCTCTTCCTACTGAGCTAGCCAGGTGCCCCCCTATTTAGAGATTTTTAACACCCCTCCCTCACTGATTGATAGAATAGGCATTCTACTCCTTTACAAAACATAGAAATCTTGCAGCAGTGTGGGTCCATTTTCCAACTTTGGTCCCGTCTTTTGAGCTACTATAGTCAGATGTACTATATCTACATGTGTTGTTAACTGCAGAATATGGCTTACAGTGCTCATTTTAACATGTAATAAGCATTTTAAAGAGATTAACAGAAGAAAAAAATTTAAGCCAGACTTTTATATTAAACCACAGTATTAGTTTCCTATGTCTGCTGTAACAAATTACCACAAACTTAGTGGTATAAAACAATGCAGACTTACTACTTTACAGTTTGGGAGGTCAGACAGTTTTGGAGGTCAGAAGTATGAAATGAGTCTCAGGCTAAAATCAAGGTGCCAGCCAGGTTGCGTTCTTTCTGGATGCTCTAGGGGAGAAACTGTTTCCTTTCCTTTGCCAGGTTCTAGAGGGCATCTGCTCTTTGACACGGACTCTTCTGCCTCCCACTTCCATTTATAAGGATACTTGTGATTTCTTTGGACCAGATAATCCAGATGATCTCTCCGTCTCAAGGTCATCTGATTAGCAACCTTAATTCCCTCTGCAACCTTAGTTTTCCTTTGCCAGGTAACCTATCATATTCACAGATTCTGGAGATGAAGCCAAGGACATCTTTGATAGGCCATTATTCTTCCTACCACACCCACCTATTTGTCATTTCTGGTGATCTTCATTCCTTCCTACAGATTATTTGGTGTAATTTTCCTTTAATCTAAGGAAATTTCCTTAGCATTTTTTGTAGCACAAGTCTGGTGGTGGTGATTCTCTGTTTTTGTTGACCTGAACTTGTATTTATTTCGCCTTCATATTATTTAAAAAAAAATAAAATTTATTGAGGTATAATTTACATATAAGATGAACCTACTTTAAGTATATAGTTTGATGAGTTTTGACAACGTATACACGCACGTAATCATTATTACAATCAATACATAGAACATTTTTATCCTTTCCAAAATGTATCACCTGCCCCTTTGCAGTTAGGCTCTCTCCTACCCTGGTTCCAAGCAACCACAGATCTGCTTTGTGTCAATCAAGATTAGTTGCTTCTTGTTTCAAAATTTCATATAAGTAGAATAATAAATTTTTAATCTTTCATGTCTGTATTTTTTTGTTCAACATCATGTTTTTAAGATTCATACATGTTGTATTTATCAAGAGTTTGTTACTTGGTACTGCTGAGAAGTATTCCATTGTATGAGTATACCACTATTTGTTAATCCATTCACCTATTGATGGATATTTTAGTGGTTTCCAGTTTTTTTTTTTTTGCTCTGAATTAAGATTATGTGAACATTTATGTACAAGACTTTTTGTCAACTTTTTTTTTAAGCATGTGGTTCTTGAATAAATATCTCTCTTGAAGAAATACCTAGGAGTGTAATGGATAAGTTATATAGCAAGTATAAATTTGTAAGACACTGCCAGTGCTTTACCATTTTACATTCCAAAAGCAATGTATGTGAGTTTCAGTTGCTCTGCATCCTCAGCAACCCTTAATATTGTCAGTCTTTTTTAATATGAGCTCTTTTAATAGGTATGTAGAGGTATCTAATGTGCATACATTTTCCTTTTTGTCTTTGAAACTATTAATAACAGCTGCATTAAAATTCATGTCTGCTAATTTTAATACCTGTGTCATCTGGGGGGAGGTTTTTATTTTTATTTTTAAGTTTATTTATTTGGAGAGAGAGAGAGCACATGTGCCTGCTCACAACTGGGGGAGGGGCAGAGAGAACGGAGAGAGAGAATCCCAAGCGGGCTCTGCACCGTCAGCTTGGAGCCTGATGCAGGGCTTGATCTCACAAACCATGAGATCCTAAGCCAAAATCCAGGGTCAGACACTTAACTGACTGAGCCACCCAGGCACCCCTTGGGGAGGTTTTTATTAACTGACTTGTGAGTCACATTTCCTGTTTCTTTATATGTCTACTATTTTTTGTTGGATGCTGGGCACTAGGAATGATATGTTTTAGAATTCTGAATTCTGTTATGTTCCTTTGAAGAATGGTTTTTGTTTTAGCAGGAAGCTAAGTTGGCTAGACTTTGACTCCAAATTTTGTCTCCAGCAGTGGACAAAAGCTGAAATCCTCACCCAGTCTGAAATGTTGAGAGAATTAAAAACATGTGACAGACATGAAGTGAGCAAATGCTGTTGGAAAGGTGGCACTGATAGACTTGCTTGACACACGATTGCAAGAAACCTTCAATTTGTAAAAAACTCAATATTTACCAAGTGCAGTAAAGTGTAGCTCAGTAAAATGAGGTATGCCTATGTAGTTGGAGACTTTAACACCATTCTCTAACAGAACTAGACAGAAAATGGGCAAAAATATTAGAAATAATAATATTGTCAACTAACAGGATCTAATGGACATGGCATAACAATCCACCAAACAACATTGAAATATACGTTATTTTAGGGCACACACTGAACATATACCAAGACATGTCCTGGGCCATAAAACAAATTTCAATAACAAAAAAAATTGAAATCATATTGAGTGTATTCTCTAGTCACAGTGGAATCACTAGAAATCAGTAACAGATAACAAAATTTATTAATACTTGGAACTAAACACATTTCTAAATAATCTATTGGTCAAAGAGGAAGTTTCAAGGAAAAAATATATTGAATGGAATGAAAATGAAAATACAAAATATCAAAATTTGTGGGACACAGCTACAGCAGTGTGGAGAGGGAAAGTTATGGCATACATTAAAATATTTTTTTTTTAATTTTTTTTTTCAACGTTTATTTATTTTTGGGACAGAGAGAGACAGAGCATGAACGGGGGAGGGGCAGAGAGAGAGGGAGACACAGAATCGGAAACAGGCTCCAGGCTCCGAGCCATCCGCCCAGAGCCTGACGCGGGGCTCGAACCCACGGACCGTGAGATCGTGACCTGGCTGAAGTCGGACGCTTAACCGACTGAGCCACCCAGGCGCCCCTAAAATGTTTTTTAAGTAGGCTCCATGCCCAATGTGGGGCTTGAACTCGTGACCCCTAGATCAAGAGTCACATGCTTTACTGCCTGAGCCATCCAGGCACTCCTGGATACATTAGAAAAGAGGAAAAGTCTCAAATCAATACATTTCTACCTCAAGCATCTAGAAAAAGAAGAGCAAAATAATGCAATGAAGGCAGAAGTAAGAAATAATAAAGACAAGAACAGAAAACAGTAAAGTTGAAAACTGATTAACAGGTCTTAATTTATAAAGGTGACTGATAATACAGAGAAGTCAATGCCACTAAAAGAAAAGTTTAATGTTACTATTCATAATTCCCATAGAACAAGAAGCACAGCTCACCATGCAGGACCATGGGGGGAAGCACCAGTGTCAATCAGAGGCAGAAAGGAGCAAAGGGAAGGAATAGGCCATAGTCTTCACTGGAGTTTCCATGGAAATGTAGGGCATGTTGGGGTAAATAGTTAAGGATTGTTTAATTTGAATAATTCTGGTGGGCTCTAGGGCATAAGAGCTGCCTCTGGTTGTCTGGTACCTGGCCCCAGTTGATTTAGGGTAGGGCAAATATTGGTTTGATGTGTGGTTAAATAAAGGAAGTGGTTGGGGGTATAGACTTGGGATTAGTTGTACGGTTTGTAATATGATTTTCACATGCCTATGAAAGCTGGATTGCAGAGGAGATGTAAACTTTGGTCATTAGTTTGGCCCTGTGATTAAAGGGTGCCAAAAAAACAAATGCAGAACCTAAGTAAGCACAGAACAAAAACAGAAATAGAGAAAATCAATTAAACAAAGAGTTGGTTCTTTGAAAAGATCAATAAAATTGATAAATCTCCAGCAAGACTTATGAAGAACAAAAAGAGAAGACACAAATTAATAATATTAGGGATGAAACAGTGAATATCACTATACATCCTGTAGACATAATAAACACAGTAAGGATATACCACAAACAACTCTACACACATAAAGTCAACAACTTAAACAAAATGGACCAATTCCTCAAAAAATACAAACTACCACAATTTATTCAATATGAAATAGAGAATTTGAATAGTCCCTGGTGCGCCTGGGTGGTTCAGTTGGTTGAGCATCCAACTTCGGCTCAGGTCATGATTTCACAGTCCTTGGGTTCAAGCTCCCCATTGGGCTTTGCACTGATAGTACAGAGCCTGCTTCAGATTCTCTGTGTCCCTCTCTCTCTGCTCTTCCCCTGCTCATGCTCTCTCTCTCTCAAAAATAAACATTAAAAAATTGAGTAATCCAATAACTATTAAGGAAATTTAGTTCATAACTTAAAAACTCGCATAAAAGAAATCCCCAGGTACAGATGGTTTCACTGAAGAATTCCACCAAGCATTTAAAGAAGAATTAACACCAATTCTACACAATTTCTTCTACAAAATAGAAGAGAAGGGAACAGTTCTCAATTCATTTTATAAAGTTAGTATTACCCTGATACCAAAACCAGACAAAAACAGTACAAAAAAAGACACACCACAGACTAATATCCTTCATGAATGTAGATGTAAAAGTCCTTAAGAAAATATTAGCAAATAGAATTCAATAATATATAAAAAGAATTTTACATTATGACAGAATTGATTTCAGGGATGCAAGTCCAGTTCAATATTCGAAAATCACCATATTAACGGTTTAAAAAGAAAAATCACATGATTGTATTAATTAACACAGAAAAAGAACTTGACAAAGTTCAAAAGCCATTCATTATAAAACCTCAAATAGGAATAGAGGGGTACTCTTCAACTTGTTAAAAAGCATCAACAAAAGCATAATGGTCGAAGATTGTTTTAAGTTGGGAACAAGACAAGGATGTCTTCTTTGACCACTCTTACTCAACATGGTGCTGGAAGTTCTAAGCCAGTGCAATAAGGCAAGAAAAGGAACTAAAAGGCATACACACTAGAAAGAGAAATAAAACTGTCCCTGTGTGTAGATGACAAGATTGTCTATGTGAAAATCCCAAGGAATCTACAAAAAACCTAGAACAAGTAAGTTCATCAAGGTCACAGAATATAAAATAAACATAAAAAACCAATTGCATTTTGGGGCACCTGCCTGGCTCAACTGGTAGAGAATGCAACTCTTGATCTTGGGGTTGTGAGTTTGAGCCCCACATTGGGTGTAGAGATTACTTTAAAAAAAGTTAGGGTGCCTGGGTGGTTTAATTGGTTGAGTGTTCAACTCTGGATCTCAGCTCAGGTCTTGATCTCAGAGTCATGAGTTAAAGCCCATGCTGGGCATGGAACCTACTTAAAAAAAAAAGAAAAAGAAAAAAGTCAATATACTAGCTATGACCACATGGCTACTGAAAATAAAAATATAATATTGTTTACAATTAAGAGAAAAAAGAAAGAAATACTTAGGTGTAAATGTGAAAAAACATGTACAAGGTGTGTGTATACTGAAAATGACACAATGCTGATGAATGAAAAAAAGAACATCTGTATAAATGGAGAGATATACTTTGTTCGTGGATTAGTAGCTTCAACCCAGTAAAGATGTCAATTCTCCACAAACTGATATATGGATTTAATTAAATTCCTATCAAAATCATAGCAAGATTTTTTTGTAAACATTGACAAGACTATTTTCAAATTTATATGGAAAGGCAAAGGAACTAGAATAGCCGACATAGCTTTGAAAAAGAAAATAAAATGGGAGGAAGAAATCTACTCAGTTTCAATACTTACATACACCTACAGTAATGAAGACTGTGAAGGGCTACCTGGGTGGCTTAGTCGGTTGAGCGTCTGACTTCGGCTCAGGTCATGATCTTGCACTTGGTGAGTTTGAGCCCTGTGTTGGGCTCTGTGTTGACAGCTTGGAGCCTGGAGCCTGCTTCAGATTATGTGTCTCCCTCTCTGTCTGCCCCTCCCCCGCTCATACTCTGTCTCTCAAAAATGAATAAACGTTAAAAAAAATTAAAAAAAAAAAAAAAGACTGTGCAGTGTTGGTGGAGGGTTAGACACATAGATCAATGGAATGGAATAAAGATCCCAGAAACATACCACACAAATATCCACAATTGATTTGTGGCAAAGGGGCAAAAGCAACTCAGTGGAGGAAAGATAGACTTTTCTTTTTTTTTTTTTAATTTTTAAATGTTTATTATTTTTGAGAGACAGAGAGCAAGCAGGGAAGGGGCAGAGAAAGAGGGAAACATAGAATCGGAAGCAGGCTCCATCCAGGCCCTGAGCTGCCAGCACAGAGCCGGATGTGCCCCAGACTTTCCTTTCTTTAAAAAAAAAAAAGGGGGCGCCTGGGTGGCTCAGTCGGTTAAGCAGCCGACTTCGGCTCAGGTCATGATTTCGCGGTCCGTGAGTTCGAGCCCCGCATCGGGCTCTGTGCTGACAGCTCAGAGCATGGAGCCTGTTTCAGATTCTGTGTCTCCCTCTCTCTGACCCTCCCCCGTTCATGCTCTGTCTCTCTCTGTCTCAAAAATAAATAAACGTTAAAAAAATTAATTAAAAAAATGTTTTTTAATGCTTATATATTTTTGAGAGAGATAGAGCGCGAGCAGGGGAGGGCAGAGAGAGAGGGAGACACAGAATCCGAAGCAGGTTCCGGGCTCTGAGCCATGTGCACAGAGCCCAACATGGGGCCTGAACACACGAATCACAAGACATGACCAGAGCTGAAGTCAGATGCTCAACCAACTGAGCCACCCAGGCACCCCAAGACAGACTTTTCAACAAATGGTTATTGAAGTAAATTTCTAGGCCCAAGTTGGAGCCAATCCTGCCCAGGGTGCCAGATCAGCAAACAGAAACTTAGATAACTTTCATGTCCCTGTAAATGCTCTGCTTGACCAGAAACACGGTACATCCACTCAGCCAATCTCTAAACACCAAGCCAACTCTGGGCTCTATACTTATTTCCTTGTTCCTTCCCACCCCAAATAAGTTTCACTATGTTACCCCAGCCAATCAGATATTTTCTATTTTTCTCTTCCTTGTTCTTTATTCTTTATCCTATAAATGCTTCCTGCCTTCTGTCCCATTTCACAGTTCTCCAAATGGAGACTGTCCATTTCATGAAGTATTAAATTAAGTTTGTTTGTATCACCTAAATCGTCTTCTTTAATGATTTTTTTTTTAACATGGTACTGGAGCAATTGAACATCCATAGGCAAAACAGTGGATTTGTACCTAAATGTTACGTTATAAAAAAGAAATTCAAAGTGGATTACATATTTGAATGTAAAATATAAAACTATAAAACCTTTAGGAAAAACATAGGAGAAAAATCTATGGTTAGATCTAGGGTTAGACAAAATGTTCTCAGACTTAACACCAAAATCATGATCCATAAAAGGAAAAATTGATAAATTATACTGTGTCAAAGTTAAAAATGTTTGTTCTGTGATAGATTCTGTTAAGAGGATTAAAAAAAAAAAAAGCTACAGAATGGGAGAAAATACTTGCAAACCACATATCTGACAAAGGACTAGAACATATAAAACATGCTCAAAACACAACATTAAAAAACAAAGAATCCAATTAGAAAATGGGCAAAAGATATGAGATATTTCACTGAAGAGGATATACGGATGTCAAATAAGCCCATGTAAAGATGTTCAATGTTATGAGCAATTAGGGAAATGCAAATTAAAATCACAAGATATTACTTCACACCTATCAGAATCGCTAAAGTAAAAAATAATAACAGGGTGCCTGGATGGCTCAGTTGCTTAAGCCACCCACTCTTGATTTCTGTTCAGGTCATGATCTCATGGTTAGTGGGTTTAAGCCCCTCATTGGGGCTCTGTTGACAGCGTGGAACCCTCCTGGGATCTTGGGATCTTGAGATTCCCTTTCTCTCTCAAAATAAATAAATAAATTTAGGGGCGCCTGGGTGGCGCAGTCGGTTAAGTGTCCGATTTCAGCCAGGTCACGATCTCGCCGTCGGTGAGTTCGAGCCCCGCGTCGGGCTCTGGGCTGATGGCTCAGAGCCTGGAGCCTGTTTCCGATTCTGTGTCTCCCTCTCTCTCTGCCCCTCCCCCGTTCATGCTCTGTCTCTCTCTGTCCCAAAAATAAATAAACGTTGAAAAAAAAAATTAAAAAAAAAAAAAAATAAATTTAAAACAAATCAGTAAAGGGGTGCCTGGGTGACCGAATCGGTTGAGCTTCCAACTCTTCCGCTGGAGTAATGATCTCTTAGTTCATGGGTTTGAACCCCAGATCTGGCTCTGTGCTAATGGTGCAGAGCCTGCTTGGGATTCTCTCTCTCTCTCCCTCTCTCTGCCCCTCTCCCGTGTGCGTGCGTTCCCTCTCAAAATAAATAAATAAACTTTTAAAAAATCAGTAAGTAAAACATTATTGCCCTCCACCGCCCAAATAGTAAAATTATCATCAGAGGCAGATTTACCATCAAGCTAAAGGTAAGCTTAGACCCTTAGACTCCTGTCTGCATAGCCTCTGGGAGTGCTGGAAGTTACTAGAGATTTGTAACCAGTGTTCTAACTAGGAAGAAACCAGACTGCAACAGGAAGCATTTCTAATTGCCTAAAGAGGTTTCAGAAGAAAGGGACCCACATTTCCAAGATTCCATAATTGGGTATTTTTTCCTTTATTCTCAGTAAATATTAATATGTGTTCCTAATTTTAACGTGTGCCTAATTTTAGAGGGTCTCAACAAGTACTTACAAAAGCTTTAGGCCCCACAAAACCTGGCTCTGACCCTCCTTAGCATGGTGGCTAAGAACAATGACTCTGGAGCCACACACTACGTATGTGGCTTTAGACAAGTTACTGGTTTCTCCGCACCTGTTTTCTTCACCTATAAAATGGGGGCAATAATAAACCTATCTCATAGTAATGAGCACTAAATGAATTATATGTAAGAAGCTTGGAAGTGCTTGTAGTAAATGTTATGTATACTCTTATTATAATTAGTGAGTACCTAGGTTGTGCCTGGCACTGTTTTTATTTACTTTTAAAGATGTTATTTTATTTATTTTTAAAGTAGGCTCCACACCCACCCACACTCCGGGGATGGAACTGAACCCGGAGATCGAGTCTCACACTCCACCAAAAGAGACAGCCAGGCGCCCTCTGTGTTGAGTACTTTCAACACTAATTTACTTAATTCTCAGAATAAGATACAGAACATAGTATCTTCTCAGGGGAAGATACTAATAGAATGCACATTTTAGATGTGCAGAAACTGAAGTTTTGAGAGACTGAATCAGTCTCTGGGATCAGGCCTGATTCCAAGAATCACACTTCCACCAACTTGATTTTGCCTAGCAAAGAAACAGCTTCCTTTAAGAAACCCCGCACCAAACAAATTACTTCCCCTGAAGGCTCTATCACTGCGGGTAGACCTCGTGATAGGTAGTCCCGGCCGAGTGACTATCCCCATCCAGAGAGTGGGCGAGATCTGATTCCGACCCTGGACCACGACTCCAGGTCGAGCACAGGGGAAGTGCAGACACGTGCCATCTTTCATAATACCCAGCCTTCTGCCGACAGGGGGCAACTCCTCCGCAGTCCAGTCTGATGCCAATGTCACTTTATTTGCCTGCAAGCCCCGCTTGCTCCGCCCACCTCGCCCAACTGCGCACATCACTGTTGGCCCCGCCCATCATCCCTAAGTCCCACCTCCTAGCAGGTCGGTTTAGTCTACTCTCCGGAGGAGTCTCGGCCCATCGGCACTAGGCCCACCCCCTTCCTGGGGCCGCGAGCGCCGAACTCCTCGAACGCAGCCAATGGGTGATGCGGCGGCAGCACCGCGGGAGGTTCGATTCACTGGGCCTGGCGCGTCCGGAGAGTCCCGGCGGCTGTTAACGCGCGCTTTGCGGAGAGGAAGGTTAAGCTGGGCTCCCGGGGCCCGGATTTACTTCTGCGGCTCTTTCCAGCTCTTCCTGGGATTCCCCTCCCAAGCCTGGGTGTTTTACCTGTTCTGCCTGGACCCCTGCTCGACCTCCCCTAGTCCTGGCCTGGCTTCCGCGCTCCAGACCTGGGAAAAACCCCTCCGCAGTCGAGCGCCTAGCCCTCCCCAGGCCTCAGCTTTTCACCCCAGCCCCTTTCCCCTGGCCTGTGATTACTTTTCCCCCTCAACTACTGCCTGCCATCACGTCCACTTGGACCATTATCCCAGCTCTGCCGAATCCGGCACTCCATCTGCCTCCTCCCTCTATCCCAGACTTTTACTCACCTTTCCTTGGATACTTCCTCTTTGGTCTGCTCTCCCGCCTTGGCTAACTGGCGACCGACACTCTCACAGTTTGGGCTCAAACTCCAGCCCCTGGCTGGATTCCCTCCATCCACACGCCCTCTTTAATTAGCTCATGCTTTCAATAATACAGCAGCCCGCTTTAATCCGCCCTGCTTCTGCATTCCCAGCTGTTGGGTGCCTTTGATCTTTGGCTGATGGGTACTTGACATTTTATGATCCTGAGCCCAGGATGGTAAGTATGGGCATAAGGGAGACTGTGGGGAGCCTTGTGTCTGGGTCTAGTGGACTCAGGCTGCAGGATCTCTGGAGATGCTCAGTTTGCATTTTCCCCTTACAGAGGAAGAGCTTAGCTCCTAGCCAGCTGGCCAAGAGAAAACCGGAAGGCAGACCTGGTGATGAGGAAGATTGGCAGCCTAGGACAGTGGTGAGTACTCTACCCTACAGGGGTATAGGACAGGTGGGATGCAGGACTCTTTGGACAGAAAGGAATCCTGGACTTGGTTTCTGGGGTTACACGGAATGAAGCTGGTCACCTCCAGAAACCTCTTCAGTAAACTTTTAATGAGTGCTTACTTTGCATCATCAGGCATTGAACAAGATAAAATCTTTGTTCTCAAGGTGCTTACTAAAATCGAATATAGCCTCAATTTTTCTGATAGAAAAGGATATTTCAAAGCCAAAGAGTTGGGCTTGGGTTGGGCCTTTTGGCTTCCTTGGGGGAAAAAATGGCTCCCCAATAGCAACTAGCTGCCTGCTTTTTTTCCTCTTTGTCCCCTGCCCAATATCACAGAATAGTAGAATACTATAGGGCCTGCCTTAGGGTCCTGAGCTCACTTGGGCTTAGATTAGAGGAGTGGTGCCCTTCTAGTCCCTCCTAATACTCAAGTACAGTTTGATTTTGGTCTGGGTCCTGTGCTCTGTTGCCTGCTTTTGAGGCTTTCTGGGGTTGGCTGTGGGCAGGACCTATATAAATAAAAATCAACAGGATAATGTAGCATGTACTTCAGAGATAGAGAGGAGTTAAAGAAGTACTTGGCCACTGGAACTTTGGAGGAAGGGATTAGCTAAGGAAGGTCTAGAAGACAATTTTGGGCAGGGGCTATATGTGAGAGGGAAAGAGACCCCATGTTTGTTTCAGGTGTGTCTCGTAGGATCATTGAAAGTTCAAGTACTTTTGGCAAGCTGCTACAGGCTTGCCTGATAGTTCCATGGGGTCTTGCTCTGTAGTTGCACCATTGCTGGTGTGCAGGAGGCTCCTCTACCTGTGAGGGACAAGGCTGCCCCTTGTTACTCACATGGGTCTCAGATTTGAATTTGGGGCGGCACTTCGTGCAGCTGGGTCATAAATGTTGCTGTTTGCGGCTGGTTGCTACTAAAAAATGCTTTCAGGGGCGCCTGGGTGGCGCAGTCGGTTAAGCGTCCGACTTCAGCCAGGTCACGATCTCGCGGTCCGCGAGTTCGAGCCCCGCGTCGGGCTCTGGGCTGATGGCTCAGAGCCTGGAGCCTATTTCCGATTCTGTGTCTCCCTCTCTCTCTCTGCCCCTCCCCCGTTCATGCTCTGTCTCTCTCTGTCCCAAAAATAAATAAATGTTGAAAAAAAATTTAAAAAAAAAAATGCTTTCAGTGCTAGTGTCCTCACTGCCTTGGTGTGGGCTGACTGGCTCACTTCATTCACTTCATCCAGTACCCTTCTTCAGATTGGACAAGTTCTGTAACCTCATTAACCTAAGGTTTTCTCACCTGCTAAATGAGTATAATAAATATTTATCATAGGATTACTGTGAAGATGATACACGATAATATACATGTAAAGAGTTTAGCACAATGCCTGGCATTTAATAAGTGTGTTAAATGTAGTTGTCATTTTGGTAAACTCTGTGGTCTTCCAGATTTCACCTTTCCCAATACTCTTCTAGACTCCCAAGAAACAGAAATCCAACAGTGGGACCCAGAGCAAAGAGTATTTCCTGTCGCCTTTTCGGAAACCTTTGACTCAACTAACGAATCGACCACCCAGTCTGGACAGTCGTCAACATGTAAGTCAGAATTGCTACCTGCTGGTAAATGTGTGTGCCCTGTGGAGGCGCCTTTCTTGCTTTGTCTAGGGAGGCTTCTACTGTGGGTCCACCCACAGCCTCGAGGGCCTGGAAGAGTCCTGGCCTCTTGCCTTCTGAGATATGTTCCTGACTTGGAATCTCCCCTTGTTTAGAGCTATTTGGGCACCAGATCTCAGGTGGCTCAGATTCCTGAGAAAAGGGAAAGCCATGGCAGGGTATTGGAACCACGATCCCCATGCCAGCTCAGTCTCTCACTCAGCCTAACTTACAGGTTTCACGTGTTTCTTATAGTAAAATCAAATGTAATCTTTACTATGACAGGTTCTGGACATTATCTCATGTAACTAATTTTTTAAGATGAGGAAACTGAGTCTCAGAGGGATTAAATAATGTGTCCCAAATTACAATTGCAGAGTAGTCAGAGCTGCTTAGTTTCACCAAAGCTTTTTCCACCAAACTTTCTGAGGACTGTTGTATTGAGCTCCGGCCTGGACCTCCAAAAATGTTTGGAATTTCTTAAGTGAATAAGTAATAAAGTTGTCTTTTATTATTCATAAAAAACCCTTTCAGGTACACCTGAGTTTATGTTAATGAGATTTCATTTGTAAAGTGCCTAACCTTGATGGCTGCTTGCTAGGGGAACCAACCCACCAGTGGCCAATGTTTAATCAATCATGCCTATGTAATGAAGCCTCCATAAAACCCCAAACGGTCATGGTTTGGAGAGCTTATGAATAGGTGAACAGGAGCTCATCCATGTGCCAGGAAGTGGCACATCCCAAACTCCAGAGGGACAGAAGCTCCTGTGCGCAGGACCCTTCCAGACCTTGCTCTATGTATCTCTTCTGGCTGTTCATATCCTTTATTTTATTAAAAAAATTTTTTTTTAATGTTTGCTTATTTTTGAGAGAGTGTGCTCACGCGAGCCGTGGAGGGGCAGAGAGAGAGAGGGAGACACAGAATCCAAAGCAGGCTCCGGGCTCTGAGCTGTCAGCATAGAGCTCGTCTCGGGGCTCAAACTCACGAACTGAACCATGAGACCATGACCTGAGCGGAACTTGGATGCTTAACCAACTGAGCCACCCAGGCGCCCCTGTTCATGTCCTTTAATAGCCTTTGTGATAAACTGGTAATCTAATGGGTAAACTTAGTTCCTGAGTTCTGTGAGCCACTCTAGAAAATTAATTAAACCCCAGGAGGGGGTTGGGACCCTCTGATCTAGAGCTTGTTGGTCAGAAGCACAGGGAGCAACCTGGATTTCGGATTGGTGTCTAAAGTGGTGGGGAGAGGCAGGCTTGTGAGACTGAGCCCCTAACGTGTGGGATCTGATGCTATCTCCAGGTAGGTAGTGTCACAAATGAGTTAAATTATAGGACACCCAGGTGGTGCTGAATAATTTCTTGTATATAGAAAACACATCTGGTGTCAAGTGAAGTACTGCGGTAGAATGGGGGAGACATACAGGAGTGTGTTTTTCCTTTACAGGGATGTTTTGGAGGAAAAATGGGAATATATAGTGGACATTAGTTATTTGTGTGTTCAGCAAACATTTTAAAACATTTTTATGTAATACTTGATAAATACAAAGGAATATGCATATAACGTGTGAGATAAAAAACACCTGTGAACCCACCATCCTGCACTCAAACATTAAAGTCATAATCCCTTTTCCCATCCTGAGAGGTAACCACTATCCTGAATTATCTTCATCATCCCTTGCTTTTGTGATAGTTATGTGTATATAATTCACTAAATAATACATTGTTTAATGGTTTACTGAGCCGTTAAAAATGGTATGTAGTTCTCTGGGACTTTTTTTTCTTTTAATTTTTAAAAATTTTAAAATATTTTTTTTTAATTTAGATTCAAGTTAGTTAACGTATAGTATTGGTTTCAGGAGTAGAATTTAGTGATTCATCACTTACATGCAACACCCAGTGCTCGTCCCAAAAAGTGCCCTCTTTAATGCCCATCACCCATTTAGTCCATCCCCCCACCCAGCACCCAGCCAGCAACCCTCAGTTCTCTATATTTAAGAGTCTCTTATGGTTTGCCTCCCTGTCTGTTTTAATGTTATTTTTCCTTCCCTTCCTATGGGACTCTTCATTCAGGATTCATTCAAGTTGTCCTATGTAAGCATATGACATAAGTGCAGGTGTAGTGGGAGTATACAACAGGGGTCTAACCACCTGGAGGTTGGTGAAGACTTGAATCTGAGGGGTAGGACGATTAGGTTGAGTCCTCAAGGATATGAGGAGTCAGCCAGGTGAAGAGAGTGGGAGGTGTTCTAGGTGTGTTCTAAAGGCAAAAGTGCCTCAGGCCCAGAAAAATCTTACAGTGCAGCCCTGGGGATGAGCACTTAGATGTGATGTGTTTTGAAGTCTGATAGGATATCTAGGTTTGGGGATAGTTGCAAGTATAGGTAGGTGTGGAGCCTAAGAGGAAGCTGGGGACTGGGAATAGATTTGGGATCCTTAGCATAGAGATGATATTTGACACCTCCAAAGTGTATTGGAGTGTCACAGTGAGTGTGCATTCAGGAGCTGAGAGACAATCCCTGAGCCCTGAGAAACACTGACTTTTAAGGGGGTTAAGCAGAGAAAGAAGAGCTCATTAGGGGGCTGAGCATGAAGTTCTAGGTCCTGACCTAGAGGTCAGAATAGTAGGAGAGTGGTGTCATGGAATTCAAAGGCAGAGAATATTTTAGAAGAAGGAGTGGCCAGCTTTATCTTCTACCAACATAAGGATAGGGACATGTCCACTGGAATTAAGGTTATGTAGGCCATTGGTGATCTTGGCCAGTCATTTCAGAGGAGTAGAAATGGCAGAAGATACCAGGAGTGGAAGATTAGAAAAGGGAAGCAGACAATTTGTAGCAGTTTGAAAGGGAGGAGATAAGAGGTCAAAGGAATTTTTGTTTTTAAGATAGTTAAGCATGTTTTGAATGCTGGTGGGAAAGTGCTAGTAGAGAGGGAGAGGCTGAGATACAGGAAAGATCTAGCAGAACTGATTGAGTGAATCTCTCTGGAAGAGGGAAGCTTTGACCTTGGTGGGAAGGAGGGATACTCTTCCTCTTCTATCAGAAGGAAGGGATGGTATGAATTTTCAGTAACTAAATAAAGTGAGAGCATGCTCTCTCCCCTGCCTCTGTCAGTCTTACCAGACCAGATTTTCTGAAGCAGGCCATTGCAAGTCTTACAGGCTGTGCCCTCCTGTTTTTGGCCGGGGATGCTCATGCTAATTGTACAAACTTGCAGTTCTCCCTGCGGACCCTATGGTTACTGGGTTTTATTGAAAGTCTTGCTTTTTAAATCTGTGCATAAGTTTTTGGCTACCCTGAGCCTCAAATCTAGCCTTCTGTATTGAACATATTGAAAAGAAGATTTCAGTTTTTTGGGGGTGCCTGGCTGGCTCAGTCAGTGGAGTGTGAGAATCTTAATATTGGGGTTGTAGTTTCATGCCCCACATTGGGACATTGAGTGTAGAGATTACTTTTAAAAAATCTATTTTATTTCATTTCATTTCATTTCATTTCATTTCATTTCATTTCATTTCATTT